GTGTGTGCAAACCACCAAGGGGCAACTCATTTTCCTCATAATGCCATAAAATCAATATCAGTGTCTTGCCCAAGGACACTTCAACGTCTGGACTGGAAGCACTGAGATTCGAACCTTCAACCATCTGGTTGGGAGACGACTGCTCTACCCACCGGGCTCAGAGGAGTCCGACCGATCCTGCCCGCGGGCCGCACGGATCCTCTCGGACCTCCGAACATGAGCAATTACTAAACTAAACAGCTAAATAAATGTTCCATGCACACTGAAATAATGTGCACTTACAGTCAAAATCCATTCATTACTGTTTGAGCTATGCTGTGAACAAACCAACCAACGTCAGTAAAAATGTTACCTCAGCCTTGGGGAAGGTAAAAAAATACAAACCATCTGTCCTATCTTTCCTCTGCTACATAAGACACCCTCTTAGAAAGTTTCTAATCTCTGTGGACCCAGTTCTAATGACACCACCTCAGTGAAAGGCCGGTGCTGCTCAACCACATTCAACAGAAAGTATTTGAAACAGTCCTCTATGTGATATCCAGATGTGTGGTGCTATTTGATAAACAAAGGTTAAGAAAAAAAAATGTATGTAATGTTGTGAATTTCAACCTGATTATGCAAAAAAAGACTTTCTACTTTTTTGGAGAGAAAAAAGTGGTGGCTTGTCATTCTGGTGCACTCTGACTGCACTCCACCTTTGGTTATATCTCCTATGAGCACTCTCAGTGCAGATGTGTGCGTGTGAGACACTGTAACCTGTCAATCACACATGCACAGCTAACTGTGAAGCCTAGAGGAATGGGGAAAATGCCTGGTCTACAAGTCATTTAATGCTTTGGTCTTTATATCAATCTGCTGTCACAACAACTACAGCTGACCTTAACACCTAACAAGCTTTAAGCAGTTTTGTGTCACAGACAAATTTCCAACATAAAAACCACGAGTCTTGCTACAGTCATGTTGCACTCACAACATCTCCATCATTTGGTGTAAGGTGGTGATCCAATCTTTTTAAGTCAGTCTTTTTCTCATCTTGATGTTCTGATAAAGTCAAACGTTTTATATTATCATAGGTCTGTGGTAAACGGTGAGGTGAACATCATAAACAACCAGGAGGTGAGCGTTCTCTAGCACCAAACAGGAAGCCACATAACGGGCACAGACACACCAGTAAATACATAATAAATCTGTGGGTAAATATGACGAAGACATCAGTGACTCCACGCTTCTGTTGGAAAGCTACAACGGAGCACAAAGAGGTGGAGCGAGCAAGAGTGTCTGTCTGACACGTCATTCAATTTGTACCACAACAGACTGAAAAAACATGAGGTGGACAGAACTCGATGTCCCCTTTCAGTCAAACTGAGTCATGTTCACATTCTGTCATGTCTTTTCTTATTTTTGGCTGTTTGGCTGCGTACACAAGTGCAGCTGTAGCCAAACAGGAGCATATGGGAAGTAGTCTCAAAAGAAATCTAGGGGCAGTTTTGCCAACAGTGACCCTGCATGAACCCCCGTCTCTGGAAAAGTCTACGACTCTGCCAGTGTGTCTAACTGCATTCACCTGTGTTTAGGAAGAGTCTACGACTAAAATCTGTGTGACTAATGACACATTGTCTTTAGATGTGAGAGGGTGTCAGACTTTAGTCTTTTAAACGTCCTTCAGTCTTATCACAGTCTTCTAGTGTAAGTGCTTAGGACCTGACTTGCTTGAGACTTTTTAATGAGATAGCAGTGACTTCAAGTTTTCAAATACAATGTTATTTTCATGGCCAGACCTTAAAGATTTGCAGCTTGTGACTTGACCCATTAGTCACATTAGTGGCTCTCCAAAGCTGTACTTTGGCACAAACACTGCTCTCTAGCAGACAAAACAGAGCCCTTAAAATCATCGATTATGAAGAATGTCTTTGTACTTGAGTCTGCTTTTTCCTTTTCTCAGCTGTAGAAGCGTGGTTTACTGGAGACACCACATCCTGAGAGGTAAGGGCTAAACATAGATTATAGAAAGCTGCTGTTCATTCAGGGACAAACATGATGTGTTTGGACTATTCACTTACACACTACAGAAAAACACCAAACTAAAGTAATCCTTTTGTCTTTCATTTGCCAAAACTGTTGTATACGTAATCCATAACTGGCACAGAGAGAGAGTAGGACGTCTATCCTGGAACTCATATGTGACTGTTTAGATGTGTGGTTTAACTACTGAACCTTTATTAGTGAAACACAAACACCCATGATAGTTTAAATGACAAGAGAAGAATCCACCAAACGGTGTCTGTTATATGTAGACAGAACTGGAAATACACGAGTTAAATAATAAACTGTACTGCATATAATTTAAATTCCAATAAAACCACAAATGTATATTATCCAATTATAAACATGCCGAAATCCTCAACAGCAAGATCCAGCATGTGGCCTCATGGTCCTCAGAGCTTCACGATCGGCTGGTAAATAATCACCAAACCAAAAGCTGCTGTTGGCTTGCTCACCGGGGAAATGACACAGCTGACTGGTTCAACAAACATGCAACAGATACTGCTCTGGACCCACAAGGCTCTTCAAACAAACAAGCAATGGAAATGCTTGTGCTGTTGGAAAAACCTGCAGCAGTAATGCTGATAGCGCTCACCTAATCACGTCAACTGTGTTAGCATTAAAAACTTTAGTAGGGAACTTCAGATTAATTCTAGCAAATGCCATCTTGTACAGAACAAATGTATGTTTACAGCTGGATTCAGACTGTTTGACAGACTCAGGGAACAGACTCCCTAAAGTACCAAATTACTAACACTGTGGTATTCAGTGCTGTGAGGTCTGCTCTCATTTGATCAATGTTTAGTCAGGTTCACAGCACCAACTGCTTCTCTCCACCCTGTGATACTAAGGTGAGCAGAGAAATGTGCAGCAACATGCTAAGACAGCAGCTCACACTACAATCATCTCCATCCTTCTGTCTGATACTGTACAGAGCAACTTTCTTTAACTGTCCCCATCATTTCCATGCAGAATTCTTACTTTCATGTCGGCAGGATGACCGATTTGTGAGCCACATCTCTCCTCTGTCCCCATCCCCCACCCACAGACACAATCTACCCAATCTAAAACTGGGGTGCAGCAACAGCTGATCTTTCAGGAGTGTCTATTTTTAAAACTCTTTTGCAAAACAGGCCAACTCATCAGAGCTGACATACCATCCTGTCAGAGAACTGCCAGTGAGGGACTTGACCCCTCTGCTGCTTAAAGGCACAGACTTTCTCTTTGCTGCAATGATGTGAGAGAAAACTGGCCCCAATTACTGTTTTATTGTTGGGGTTGATGATGATGATGAAGATGATGATGATGATGATGATTCATACACCAAGAAGAAATGAGTTTCTGGATATTGTGTAGCTGCTGCCTAACTCTGTCAATCTCCCCATTTCCTCAGACCTGGGCCAGAACACATTTCTGCCACTGCAAATAACGAAATGATTACCAACTACAGAACGTGCACCCTCTGACACACTTCTGCAAAGTAAGCAGTCAGCGAAGCAGTTAGGAGAAGATAAAGACCAAACAGCATTGTTGCCAAGGCCATTCACTGCTAAAATGTGATGACTATAAAGGGTGAGTGTGTCAGTTAAAAGTGATATGCAAATTGCTCAAACATCCGGGGTCGGTTAGCACAAACCTGACTTCCTCCCAGCTGAAGACAAGTCATCAAAGTCGCCCTGAATCAGAGCTATGATGATAACACCACACTGAATCATATGTAAATTCATTCCTGGCTGGAAAGAAAATACTACTCCTAATGCTTCGTATTTCACAAATACAAAATGAACAATGTTGGTTCATAACAGTAAACGCCAGGGTTTGCCTTGTTTTATGGAGATTGTTGGTATTTGATTTTAAAATAAAACTCTGAAGAGCTGATTTTTAGCCCACGTTTCACACCTCAGAGGCACAAGTGTAGACAAAAGTGTGCGGGGTATCACACTTCAAATAGGGTGACTTAAGTTCTGAAAACACACTCGGTATTATATCTGTCAGTTTATCCTACACCAGACCCGTCATAACAAAGACAGTATGAACTGTGTAAACCTGTCCCAACATGACTTCACCACCTGTTACAAACAACTGTCTGCAACTACTGCTAGCCCGACCTGCATTGCTGAGGGACAACCCAACAACCCCTGCAGGTTAGCACATGAAAGGCCTATTCCTCATGGCACAGAAAACCATTTTAATCAGCTGCACGCCACGTTTATGAGAGCTGTCACTACACTTTGTGTAGAACAGAGCATACATAGATCTGTGTGTGTAATAATGATCATCATAACTACACTTTAATTTAGCGTTTCATTACATCATTCAGCACTGGCCCTGTCTTGAGAAGCCATGGACCAACATACCCAGCAGATAAACACCCCTGCAGCCAGTTATCTTAGTAATGTTCATATACATTACTCTTATTTATTCGGGTCAGGTGTTGGTCTAAGGTCTGTTATTGTCCCAAACACATGCACAGGAACTTTTCTCCTTCAGCTTCCAACATTGTCAGGTGTTGAACAGAATGGGCCAAACAAATAAGATATTTCAAAGCACACCCTATTGGCATCTATGTTACCAGGCAACAACTAAACTGTTTGGTGTATCACATCTCTACAGGTTCGTTCTCATACTACATTAACAGAAGAGGAACCAACCGTTGTCTGGAAAGCAGGAAATCAATGAACAAACTTGCAGTGCCATGTGCAGCCTAGAAATGTCATAAAATGTGGTTATTTAAAGGCAGTGATGACAATTAGAGATGAATTGGGCACAGGTCGTCTTGGTCAGTGGAGACTGGGGGCTTTTAAAGTTTTCTTTTTCATAAAAATAACCGGATAAAGTATGAAACGTTCAGTTAAGTGCGTGCCTGTAACAGGAGGAGGAGGAAGAAGACCAGTCCCTGAACTCTCTTCAGATTCGTCAGGACGGATTTATTCACATTTGACAGGTTTTCCACTCACCTCTCTGGCTATTAGGTTCAGGGCATCGTCCTCTGCTGTCGACCTCTCCTTCTTGGTGGACCTTTTCCGTCCTGTGCCCTGAGTCCCCATGTTTCCTCAGACGCTGGCTACAGTTAAACTCACTCTTGTGGTCCCACGGTGGCCTGAGTAATCCAAACAGAGCGGTAGCTGGTGGGTCTCATGTGTCGCTAAAGCCTCAGAGATAAAGCAGACGGTGCCTGGTCGCGTTCACAGCTCGGGTCATTGTCACACATCCGTTTCTACACCTCTTCCTGTGTTTCTGCAGAGACGCGCGAACTTGCGACAAAGTCTGGTTCAGACCGTCGGTGAGCGGCGGCCCATGTGCGCTTCATAGACGTTTACTAGTCGGTCAAAAACCGCCCACTGTTGCTTTTACACCAAGTCTTTGGAAATAAAACTAGTACCAGTAAACACCAACCGTAACCAAACTATTGTTGGGAAACCTTATACTGGTCTTTTTATTTAGCAGCCAGGATTATGACTTCACCACCTGACGGATTCACGAATAAGAGTTTGTTACACACGAACTTCACAGTCCGTGCTTAATTAAGCTTCCTTCAGGTGATGTCGGATATGTGGCTTTCTATCCTGTTGAAGGTCATACTAAGAACAACATGAGCAGAAGTATCTACGTCACGTGATTAAAAACGGTGACGTTTGTTGTGCTGTATAACGCCACTAGACAATAGATTATTTTCTTCAATATCTCCAACGTTTTTCTAAATATAAGCCGAAATAGATCGATTTTCAAAACAATTTGTTAGCCAAGCCACATACCAGTTGCTTATAGGTTTTTCACTTTATTATAAGAACAGCAAAAAATTAGAGATATGACTGACTGTGGATCAAAGTATGAATCTTTTTGTTCGTTTGTTTTTTCATCTTCTAAAATAAGGCACCCCTGAAATGCCATGGTCGGGAGTTTAGGCAGAGCACTTGAATGCAGCATCAGCATCTGGACAGGGCCTCCATACATGTTCAGGGGTTCGTTTCCAACCAGAAGCCACAGCTCCTGGCTATCGCACTCTCCCACACCCCGGCTGCTATTTATAATGATGACCAGCAAGTTCTAAAACAGGCTTCAGTTTCTTAAAGAGGTAGACATGACCTCAGTTATGAACGGCTTTTCATTGCCAGCCAAACACAATGCAGAGTTCATAATCTCCAAGTAACTGTCTAGCAGCTTATGGTGTGTCTGAAATAGGGTTAAGTTTATAGTGACCTCATTAGATACTTTTTATAGCTTGTGCTATCACCGTTGTAACATTTGGAACTCCTATAACTTTGCCCTGTGATATTTTTATACTTCCCCTCTAAGTCTAACATCATATCAAAATTGCTGTAGCACATCTAAAGGAATATGGAATTCACATTCAGCTTAATTGTTATTCAGTGGGTTGAGAGTAATATTTATCCACATTTTCTCAATGAATTGTTTTGAAATCTTACACAGGAACTTTTCTTTTTTCAATTTAACTGAGGCTGAAATATTCACGATGCATGAAACAGTCCTGCCTACCATTATAATAGGCAAGTTTGTCCAGATTCACAAGTTCAGGAGGAGTGAAAGACTAATGGTGCAGAGGTGTTGTACTCACTCATATTTTTCTTACTGGAGAAACTGTGAGGTGGGATGTATAGTTTATAATCCATGTATGTATGAATGCCAATTATACTTCTTTCAAAGTGTAGATAAGATGTGATAATAATTCACAAAAGATGGATTTGATACAGACATGTTTGCAGACTTTACAGCAAGGCTGTGGTATATACAATGCTGCCCCCCTGTGCTGATACAGTTTCATGCAAGGAGATACTCGGGAAGAAAACAGGCCAGCTGCAGGCTGTGCAGAATCCCTGAGTAACCTATGATGTGCATAAAGAAATGGAATCATTCTGTGTCTAATTTCTAATGACTAGCTATTTGTCTTCCATACAGTATACTTAGCAATACATGTTAACAGGAAATGAATGTTGACACATTCTGTGCAAACTGATTATTGTTTGAAATGACTTGTTTTTCTTTCTGAAGTGTTTGAAAGTGTATTAGGAAGAAACAGAACAGAATCATTTTGCGCCTGACATGTAGCATTTGAACTGTAATAGCTGAGGTCAAGGGAAACAACAGCAAACTTTGGAAAATGACCAAAGTTTCCCCAAACCGTTTCAGTTTCTGTTTGCATACATAATAATCTTCCCAAGTGTCACTAACAAGAAACATGACTATAAATTTTACTGTTAAAATCATTATGTGTGACATCTGATGGCCACAATAGATGACAATGCACATTACTGCTAATTTGTAACTGGCTGCAAGGTTGTATAGCCCAGTAGTGGGTGTGTACAAGGAAGTGAAACGTTGTTGACATTTACAAGTTGAGGCTGGACTTTGTTTTACTTTTATTTCCCATATAACCAAGTGCACAGACTGCCAACATAGAAGACCCACTGAGTCCTCTGTACAGGTTGGAGCAGCTTTTGCTTCTTCACAGAAAAAAAGACTACAGGATCAGGACTGAGGGCCTTGGCTGGATTGTATATTTTTTCTATTCCACCTGTGTTGCCTGGCTGTTTTCAAGTCAACTAAATCTTTTGATGGGGGAGAATCTCCCAAGGGGGCCAGGAGGAGCCCAGCTCCACAATGGCACTTTGAGAAAAGCTGTGCGGACTCTCAGGGTTAAGCTGGTATTTCTGGGAAGTTCTGGTGTGGGAAAGTCAACCTTGGCACAACGATTCAGCAAGGATGAGTTCAGGAGCACATCACCGACTGTAGGCTGTGAGTTGATGATACTGGGAGCAGTGATTGAATATCACGCATAATAATTATGATTGCTGAAAAGCCATTCAAAGTTTTATGTGTGTGTGTATGTGTACATATATATAAAACAAAAAAGCCAAATCTGATCCAGTCCACAGAGCTCCAGAAATGGACTGGTCAGAATTACTGACATCCTCAACTTAATATTTGGCAGCCCACCCTTTGGACAAAATAACTGAAATCAGTCACTTCAGTGAGTTTCTTCCAACTCTCTAGTGTAATTGTGGACCACTCTTCTTCTGCCAGCTGCTCCAGCTCTCTGAGATGAAGGCTTCCTTCTCCCAGCTGATGTTCTGACATCTCTCCACAGGAGCTCTCTGGGATTTAGACCTGGACTCATTGCTGGCCACTTCACAACTCTCCAGCTCATTGTCTGAAACCATTTCTGGTGCTTGTTGAAGTCTGCTTTGAGTCATTGTCCTGTTGTAAGACCCATGACCTCTGATGGAGACCCAGCTTTCTGACTCTGGGCCCTATGTTGTGCCCCAGAATTCACTGGTAGTCTTCAGATTTCATAAAGCCACACACACAGTCAAGACATCCAGAGGCTGAAGCAGCAGAGCAACCCCAAAACATCAGTGAACCTCCACCATGTTTGACTGTAGGGACGTGTTCTTTTCTTTTAAGACCTCATTTCATTTTCTGAAAACAGTAGAATGATGTGCT